AAGTCCCTTGGAAAGCCGCCCTGAGTGAGTTCGATAGGTGCTAACTTCGTGCGCTCCGCTATTCTGTGCCGACCACCCACTTGCTAGCCGTGGAGACCGCGTGATTGGCTGCGTGGTCCTCGCGCGATTGCGTGTAAACTGTGACCGCTTTGGGAAGAAGCTGCCGGTCTTTTCCATTTGATTTCTTCTTATTACTTAGATCGTTTAATTATCGTATTTCTTTGTTCGTATTAGTGCATGTGTCTTTGTTTGTATTTTTCCATATGCGATTGCGGCCGCGTTTCAGGAATGCCGGTGGAGCAAGGTAATTTGGACAGCTCGTCCGGCTGCACCCTCTCTTTATTTCAAAAGGAAAAGGAGGAGTCACTGTTTAAGGAGTTCATCGGCGGTTTTCTTTGTTTCTTTTTTTCATTTTCAGTCAACTCGGCATCCACAATTTCATTATCGACCGCTTCTACCCCACCAATTTGATCTAGGGTCCTTGCTCTAAAGTATGCATCAGAATCAATTTTGTGTGGCTCCTCGACACGAACATTTTTTCCATTCAGCTTCTACCTAAACTAGCGTGACCTCAAGAGCATTGAATCAGATTCCATCCTTCAAAGGCAGAATTCACGAAGGAAAAGCAATAAACGAACTTGGGGACGAAAAAAATGAGGAACTCAGGGTGAAATGAAAAGGATATATACGAAGGTACTTCTATCTTAATACTAAACGTTGTATAACAAAAAAAATTTGGTTCCCGCACACGAGAATGCCATCTTTGGTTGTCAGGGATCTATCCTACAGACCGAAGGGACTCTTCTGACAACCGTTCCGGTCTGTGGAATAGACACCTAGAGGACAATCACAGATGTGGTACGACTTCTGCCTGGATTGTGCCTTTAAGAGAATAACACGCGGCCGACTATGAAGAGAGTCGAGGCCTCTAAGAGCCTTTCGTGGCGCTCAAAGGCAAGCCCCGCTCTTAGCCCAACTCAGGGTGTCCCATGAATATTGCACCTCTTACTGATTACTTGTAACTTCTCAAAATGGATGTATCTTCAAGAGGTTTTACAAAATTTTAGCAATACATTTACATATTGAAAGGAATGACATTCATTGGATATGCTCCCCTGTTGTTGTGAGTATGGCTCCCAATTGCTTCGAACGCAACTCTACTGTGGCCCGCATGGCATCCTGGGGTGTTCTCTTCGAAACTTTGCAGAGAAAAGGCTCCGGCTCATCCATGTGGATGCAATGTTTAGTGCAGGCTCTGCCCTCTAACATAGCCCACATAGGATGGTCCAGCACGCTGAAATCAAGGGATAGGAGAGCCATTCGTTCGAGGATGTGAAATCGGAAAGAGTGCCTCAACAGCGCTCCTGAACAATTTTTGCCTCCTATGCAGAATTTGGTCCTAATTTGGGTTGAGAAGATCGTCACCCCTCCTCAATGTGGCTACATACCTCAATAACAGCCGGTGCATGAAATGTCCCTTGGCTCAGTCTAGTATCGAGTTGTATTCCTTTGCAAACAGGCAGTGATGGTGAGTGACCGGTAATTGAGCCCGCCGTCCGAGAAACATTGAAGTAAGGTTGGCTGATTCTCGCTGGGACATTTTGGTTCTTTCACTGCTTACTGACTTTCTCAGTACTTGCATCCACGGAGTTTGAAGATTGTAGCTCCGCTCCATGTGAGGAATTTTGTCGTCGATGAAAACGGTGCCCGCGTGATCGCCATTTTCGGCCCTCGACACCAGCTCTTTGAACTTTTTGTCTCTGCTGTGCTCCTCCCGTTGGATTGAGCAGTGGTGGTGCGTATGCAACTTATAATGGACTGTGGGAGCAGTTGTTATCCAACCACTCTCTACCCAACGCGGGTATTATAGTCTTTCCGCTTGGTCATGCTTTTCCTGAGATCTATAATGTGAGAACTTGCGGGGCGGCCACAACGAAGACTGCTTTTACTGATCTTCTCTTTAGTGCACGGTAGGCCGCGGAACGGTTGAAAATCCGAAAGAAGCGCAATGCTCATCTCGGATGTCGCTAAACTCTAACTGTTTGAAGGTTTTAGGTACTTCTGTTAAATGTTCGCCCATGCATGAGTGGAGCCAAATCGGTAACGCCGAGGAATTTTGGTAGCTGGTCTTGACAAGGAGGGTATGTCAGGAATGTGAATCAAACAATGCTCAATATGCTATAGACACTCTGTAGTGGGAAGTATAGTGCGAAAGAACTTGTAGTGTCCTTCCCTACAGAAAGCGCACCACACCCGTCGCACGAGTTGTGCGGTCAGAGCGCTAATTGTTGAGATGCTGCAACCATCGGCCCTTACTGCAACGCTTCCCACCCACATCGCCCATTGATTTGGAGATTCAGCCCAGGGTCATAGTCCGTTACTTTGGACCGATATTGAGTGACGCTTGGATGCGCGATGTTGACCGCTGCCTCGCGCGCCGGGCAATTCCAGCTTCTCGCCACGCGCGAGCCAGTCTGTTGTCTCGTGCGTAGGGGGGGGGGGGGGGGCGTTCACTCCTCCGGCATTAGCTCTCGTCGTCGCGTTGGACTTTGTCCAATGGACGGTTGACCCTAGATCAGCCGCTCTCGAACGGCATGCTCTCTTGCGTGTTCTGTCTTCTGTGATCGTTTTGCCCTGCCTTCGCACTACATCTGCTCGTCAGAGCCCTGATTCAGCGTTTTCCCAAGCCTTGTCTTGCTTTATTTTCCACTTTAGTCCATTCGCAGTTCATCCAACCGCTGTGGTGCGCTCTTACACACCAGTTCTATTCCGTGGTTTGCCTTTAAGAAGCGGCGGAAGGTGCACACGTAGCAACATACAATAGTAAGGTTTTTCACATCTCTACAAGCCTGCTCACCTCCAATAGTTCCTGGCCCCTGGCCGTCAGAAGTCTGCCCTTTTAGCAGAGAGCAGAAGAGCAGATTGGTGACTTTGGAAAAGCTCTCTAACGAGTACACCAATGGGCAAAAAAGGGTCTCTTTTCAAAAACTTTAGGACGTGTCCTCTGGTTTCGTCTTGACCATGACGCAGTCTATCTCCTCACTTTCGTTCGATCGGCGCAAAATTATCCTACTAGCCACTTTGAACTTCGTCGGAAAATAAATTGGTTCGAGAGATAACTAACGTTTTACTCCAGCTTTTCGTATGGTCTCCCGCCATTCGAGCAGAGCTATGTCGGCTGTCGGGGTGAATATCGTAACCTGACGGGCATACGCCGCTTTGAATGCTGGTTCGGTCAAAGAAGCATCCATTATAACAGGAGCATGACGTCGGCTTCGAACTTTCCGTACAGCGTGGCGACTCTAGATGGATTAAGAAATGAATAATGTTATAGTGGAAAAATAAAGATGGTCCCAAAACGTAAACTGCACAGTACTCAGAATTCGCATCTACCCCCAGCAGCATTTACCCCCGTTAGAGTACCCCCATTACAGTGTAGTGTAAATGTGGATAGCAGCGTGGATTAGCTGGTTTGACTCTCTGTGCCCTTCCTCATCATGGTCGACGATTCCACTAGTGTGGTTGAGTATGGTACTACTGTCACCATTCAAATTCGCACTTGAACCTTCGAAAATGTGATAAGGCGAAGGCGCACTGTGTGATACTCGCCATTAAACAAAAAAATCACGCGGAAACGCCATTTCGCGTTTTTTGTTTTTTCTGTTATAACTTGGTTCGAACTCGGGGTTTTCATACCCAAAGCAAGTAAGTGGAACTCGCCTTTCATGGTCATAACTCGTCATTTTGGTCAAACTTCCATTACTGTTCCTTCCAATAAGTTAGACACATCGAACACTAGGGAAGCATTTTGATGCATCTAAGTATTTCGTACTTACAGCTCGAAATCCACGGCAGCGCTCCCAAAATCGCTCCGGCAAAAACGCCAAACCGCGCGATGTCGTCAACGTGTTAATTGAATGTTGTTTCGGATTCCAGGGCTCTATTTCATTTCGAAGCCGTTGATGATAAAAGTATGGTCCCTGCACTCGAAATACCTTCTCTGGAGTTGTAAGGACCTCAGGCCTGTGGAGTTCCCCAGTTTTAACCCACTGACCATGACGGTGGCATTAGCCACCATCAAATTCAGAGGCCTGCACTACCGGCTTAATAGCATATTTCTACTACTCCTCTTAGAGTTCGCTTTGAACGACATTTTCCATTCGAATTTTGCTTTGCACACGCCATTTTGTGTGGCTGTCAGCATTACAAATATTTGTGTATAAGTGCAACAAAAAACGCGCTGGCTTCCGCATCCTCCTAGAAAAGTGTCAATTATTTCTAAATATTAGGTTGGTCCATAAGTCTTGCAACAAATTACATTTAATGCTAGAGAATTTTTGTGAGAACTCCGAAAATTCCGCAACATGTTTGTTGACGTAGCATCCACCTTTGCAATTTCAGCCAACCGTCCAGCTCGTTGTCTCGCTACTTGTTATGGATATTACACCGATTTCGCGAAAGCTCTTCGTGCCCTTAATTTTTACGAGTACTGCTTGGAATGTTCCGCAAGTCATGCTACACCAAGGATTAGCCAGAAGATAGGCGAGGGCACGCTCTCTCAATTCACGGTGCAACGGCGCTTCACTCTGCTCAGCGTTGACTTTTTTATTTGAAAATAACCCACACTCCAACCACCCTGTGACTGACAATCACGATGCTCTATCTGACGCTGTTGAAAAGGGATCTGGATATGAGTATCGATCGTTTGCTAGAGCCATTCCGATGCGACAAGGACGGCAGCACTCGGAGACATCTCCGAAGAGTTGTAAAGGGTTTGAGTTCCATTTGCTGTGGGCGCGAATCAGCTTCAAACCCGATCTGGCATCGTCATGTTCAGGTCGACTTACTATGGCGATAGTCTAGTTCAAAAAACTTTGGAAATTTCATAGATTTTATTGCCAAAGTCCAACCTCGTCCAAGTTGGGTTTCCTAGGATTTTTGGTGGAATACAAGAGGAGTTGAGCTTTGGAAACGCCTTTGTGTAAATGTCACATTCAACGCGGAAGTCAACCATCCACAGCTCAATTGCAACGCTAGTAATATGAAAGAAAAGAAAAACTTTGCTTTTTATGGTACCGCTGAACCATCTCTTGATGAGAAAATCCAGGAAAATTTTGGGACTCTCGAACGGAGAGTTCTTACGTATCCACTTCATAGCTCTGACCTCTTGCCAAAGAATGCCTACCTGCCTCCCGCTCCAGACCCATCCTCCTAATCTCATACTAACCTATGACGATGTCAAAATCGACATCTGATCTTTCTTCGATCAGAATTCAGTAGAGTCCTACAAGGGAGGCATCGAACAGCTACTAGTGTGTTGGCAATAGGTTGTAGATATTGATGGTGAGTAGCATGCGGATGAATGGAACAAAAAGATAATAAAAATTTTAAAAGTGAAAGTACAGCCACTTTGTTGCAAGACTTATGCACCAACCAAATATTTGCAACATATTCAGACTAATTTTGAAACCCCGAACTAAAGTGTTGCGTAAGACCGTAAATTTATCGACATGACCAAAAAATTTGGAATTTTCTCAAATCAGACTTGAAAAATAGGATCCTGTGGCGATTTCCACATTTACGTCCATTATAGAAACTCTTTATTTCTTGGAGGACCTTGTCAGCCAGGAGAGGGGAGAAACAGGGCCAGGGAGAACGAAGGTAGCTCACGTGGACCCTCTTCCGCTCCTACCCCTTCCCTAGGCATGTTCCCAAAATCTGCAAGTGACTTACTCACTTCAACGCCCCTAACGACATGAGCGTACACGCCAAATCGCTTTCGTGAGCATTCTCGAAGTTTTACGGCGATACCACACGTAACTGTGCGCGGTAAAATTGACGCTATTTTTCTTTACTTCACCCCCCAAACTCCACATACCACCGACGCTCATGTGACAAGGCGTACACGATCCACAGCCAAGGAATTCTCGACCGTGGCCCATTTGCATTAGCAGAGCTATTAGAGTTGGAATGGGGTATCAGCAGGGATTCTATACAGTACTTTTGGGGTGTGGTAGATGAAGTCTTCAGGGAATTCATGGAATATGCCTCCTAAACTTTGCACATAACAGCGTTTACACTATTTCGAGAGCTCACTTTTGCTTTCCATGCTTGTCTGTATAAGTCGTCTGATATAGACCATTCAGCCTATGAGTGCCAATGATGCCGGTATAGGAGAGCTTAAAGTATTGAATTAGAAAAGAGTAGGCAGGCATTCTTCCCTAGAAATGATTCTCATATACCCTATGTTTCCTGAGCACACATCAAGGCTCTAGAGCACACTTAGGCTGCTTTTATACCTTGCACAGGTGTATGGACAACAAGGAAAGCGCGAAAAGCGCCAATATACTTGCTGGCTCATTATGTTAACCGTGGTCGGTGGTGCTCCCGATTTGAGCACTGGCCTCTCCAATCATGCGTCAGCATTCGCCACAGCCGAATGCCTGCACTTTCGCACCGTCGTAAAGTACAGAGCAACTCTAGCAATACAAGTGTGGGACAGATAATTACTGGCATAAAAAAAACACGAGACATTGACTCGTTCTGATCGTTAAGTGCCGTTCTAACGCCGTAGCTAGCGTTGCGGATGTCTCACAAGAATGCTGGGTTATGGAACAAACTTTCGCCCCTAAGCGGGACTCGAAGGAGCACCTCTTGCTTACCGGGCAAGTGCGCTACAAGTTACGCTACCGGGACCTGTAACCCAGGTTTTCATAATGAATACAGCAGCACCCGAAAGTCTTTGGCCAAATGCAGTTCGGCCGTGACGTTTCTGCCGAATCAAATCAATTCAAATTTTGATGTGTAGAGGGCGAGGATTTTTCGCTGAGATAGCATAGTAGTGTTGGATGGGAGGAAGAATGGGGATTGAAGAAATCCTTCTAGTAGAAATTCTCGAGTATGACCAAATTCCAAGTAACTTTCAAATGTTATAGAAAGCCCATGTTTCATCAAAACAATCGAGCATATGACAAAAAAAATCGAACATATCCTTTATTTTGTTAATAGCCTTCTGCAGTTGTGAAACCTCAAAGCCTGAATGTGGAATCAATCATGGAATGCACTATCTATTTGGAAAACCTCCTTAATCTTCCCTCAAATTTTACGAGTTTCTTGGGTATATTCCTAGCTCCTTTTTTTGCCAAAACCTTCCCTAGCCTAACCTATAGTGTATCGATGACGCTTGGGATATGCAACTGAAATTTTCCCTCCGTTCAAAGGCGCGCCATGCTGTCGAGAGCGCTCTTGCACAGTTGAGGTGCGATGCTTTGGATCGCTCTATTGCTAGAAGGCGAAGTCAGTTCGGAGCAGTTGCCATACGGTTGACTACACAACACTTTTCAGAGCCTGACTCTATACACAGCCTTCATCACTTCTCAACCCTATGAGGTTGTTTGACGGCGAAGTGATAGGGAATGGAATAAGTCTGCGTACACCTGAACTGGAGACCCCACACGGCTCCGTCATATGGGGCGAGTAAGTAACTTTGGGATGTTTGGAGACCACAGGACAACGCATGTGTGGCGAGGTTTCGATCTAAAGTATCAGCTGCTGGCCGTGAAACGAAGCAGAGTCTCGGTTACGTTAGTCCGTAAAAGAGGTGGAACTGCAGCATAGAATTCGCACGGTGGTGAAGGCTGACGTATAGGGTCAGGTTCTGGAAAGTGTTGCGTATTCAACCGTATGGCAACTGCACTAAAACGACTTCGTCTTCTAGCAATAGAGCGATCCAAAGCATCGCACCTCAACTGTGCAAGAGCGCTCTCGACAGCATGGCGCGCCTTAAACGGTAGGACAACTTCAGTTACACATCACGAGCGTCATCGAGACAACATAGAGAAGGGTAGGGAAGCTTTTGGGCTAGGAATAGCGAGGGACTCGTCAAATTTCAAGGATAATTGAGAAAGTTTCCCGAAGACGGTGCATTCATTGACTGGTTCCAAACTTAAAGGCAAACCCCGGGATTGGTCCGAGAGGGATACCACGGGGGAAATTGTAAGGTCCGTACTACCTAGATCACTCCAGCTTCGTCGCAAAAATTGCGCGGTTAGGGCGCTAATCCTTACGGGCCTGCAACCATCGACCCCTTCCAACGCTTCCCACCCACCGCGAGAGGTGGTGAGATCAGCGTGCATTGATGTAGAGATCAGCGTGCTCTCTCAAACGACGTGCTCTCTCGCGTATTTTGTCTTCTTTGACCGCCCTTTCTCGCCATCGTACCACATCCGACCCTATTGAAGGTTAAGGCCTTAATTTCAGCGTTCCCAAGATTTCTCTTGCTTTCCTTTCCACTTTCAGGTCGTTCCGCAGCTAAGCTATCACTACGAAGCGCTGATAGCACCAGTTCAATCCCGGAGTTTGCCTTTAAGCCCTGTTGAGGTTTCAGCAACTTCAAAAGTCCACTACGAAGTGCTTAATGTGCTCGATGTTTTTTATCATTCCGTCGATTGTTTTGTTGAATTATAAGCTTTCTACAATAATTTGAAACTTACTTGGAATTTGGCATACTCGAGAATTTCTAGTGAAAGGATTTTTTATTCTCAACTCTTACTTCCGTCCAACGCTGATATGCTAGCTTAGTGAAAAATGCTTGCCCTAAACTTGTTTTTGTTTGTTAACTGCTGTTTTTGGCCGCAGTTCGCCTTGCGAATGTTTCACAAGAATGCTGGGTTGTGAACAAAACTTTTCGCCCCAGAACGGGACTCTCCCCTAGACACATCGAAATTCGAATTGATTTGATTCGGCAGAAAAGAGTTGCGGTAAGAAATGCATTTGGCCAAGACCTTTGAGCGAGCGCTAGTGCATATTCGAAATAGATTATCAGCACTCACATGTGTAACGTGATCCGGTTAGCCGACATTTTTTAGCATCGAATAACCCAAAATTCTTGTAAAAAATTCGCAGCGCGATGTGGAGTTACAACAGCAGGTAACGAACAAAAGAAGTCAAAAATGATTGGAAGAAATTTCAGACTTTTTGGTTCACTGCTTATGTCGACTAACCGGCTCATCACGTTAGACTTGTGTTCAAGTCCAGCTCTCAGGAACATTTGAAATTGGAAAATTCCTAGAAGAAATTCGTTCATCGAAAGTTGCACGATTAGAGCTTCATCTGTGCTTCGGACAGCACTCCATAGGCTTTAAAATGAATTCGTGAAAATAAATGGGAAGGTCTATCAAGAAGGGATCCTTGAGAGCGCTGATACGTCCTGGAAGCAGAACCAACAGTTCTGTCTTTCTACAGGAGTGCGCCGGGGCCCATGGACCTTTCCTCCAAAGCCAGTATTGGCTCTTTCTTAGCGGTGGGTACGCGGCCTGCTCTCGAATTCGGATCCATTAGAGCTCTCGATTTTGGGTTCATAAAAGGGTACTAAGGAACCGAAGTGTAAAAAGTTAGGTGGTTTTGCAATGGATTATTCCAAAAGTGGAATAAATTATGCTTTGAACATCTCCGCCGCACCATCGTTTCGATGAAGAATGACTTGTTGCCAACGAACAGCCTAAGTAGTATGGCTCAATCTCAGGAGTTGAACCCTTGAAGCAGAGAAAGACAGCGAGGTACCTTTCTTGTCTACAACGTGGCTAGTGGGCAACAAGACTAGATGAAGACTAGAAGGGACTGATTGCACATTTTGGCTGATGGTGTGGTCATGCTTGTCGTGAAGCTGCATATTTTGCGAGTTCTGGAAGCAGTTGTTGGAACTTCACCATCAGTCTCTGCCGTTGGTCACAGTAGATCTGCTGGTTATGGTGCTGCAGAGAAGACAAGTTTTCTCTGGTTGACTCGCGCATGCCTTCACAAACGGGTTACATAATCGTTTCTTGGATTGTTGATTTTTCAGCCTCTTCTGATCTATCCAGCCATTTGTCTTTGCGCGTGTGGTTGACATGGAGTCGTCACTTCATATCCGCAGTAATGACGTCGTTCCGCCACTTTGTACGTTAACACTGAGAAGCAAGTTGTAGTCTGCACTCGTCTCGCCCCTGTGTCATCAGTGGTCAGTTCATGACACAATGTTCGATAGTGCATCTGCCCCTTCATGTGAGAGTGAAAACCTCTACAAACATCTGAAACATTAGAATGTGGTCACATGGTCACATAGTAGATTATCTCGTACCAGTCGCCTTATTGCACATCTAGGCCAATCTAATACCGATGGCCTACCTGATTCAGGTCTTCTTCAAGGCCGTAGTCTATTGAGCGAGAGTAACTCAATACACAGGGTAGGGCCCTAATTACATACTACGAGAACATAATTAGAAACCGCTAAAGGAAGTCCTAGCGTGAAGTCCAAAAAATCTTACAGCTGAGGGTGCCTACTACAGCTCTGTCGTCGTTTAAGGTCAAATTTGCCGACACCGCTAATGATTTTCCAACCTTTAGGACTTTTTTCGTGTAATTTGAAAAGGTATTCGAATGATTGGGTTTCACAAATATGTTCGACTTTCTTTACAGGCTCCGAAGAAGGCGATTCAGCCGAAACGTCAGTCAAAATAAAAGTCTGTATCAATCTCGGAGGCTGCATAAGACAATAAACTTGGGTTCAAAAAATACGCGCAAATTTTCGAGACAACCATATATATTAGAATACTTGAGAGTACCGTAAATAAAGAGTCATATTAAAAATAGGGAAACGTCCATCGTCATCACAAAAGATTTCATATGCTTACTTCAATTTTGAGATGCTCTTTTTCACCAATCGTCTCAGCCAACCGTAAAACCACTACTTCCATTTTTTTGCTGGTCCCAATGCTGCGAATCGGAATAATTCTCCCATTCTGAAAAAAGTACGTTTCTCGGGAATAGTCTCATCAACGCATATCATCGACTCACCAGCGTCACTTTACATTCCTCAGCGATCAATTTGATCTCAGCCATGTGAAGAACTATCTGTGTTATTGGAGCAAGCACCTCCACAATTATGGTCACCTCTCCATCGAATGTTAATTCCTTTTCCGGCGGAACATCAGGATATGAAGGCAAATATGCCTTTATGCTCAAATCATACATCACTAAAACATTAAGTATGTAATTTCGTATTGTTGTAACATAATATTTTCCAAATCTTGAAGGCTTCTTCTGCGTCTGGATGTGTTGGTTATTGTTTGCAAAAATGCATGAGATGTCGCAGTTTGGGTCGATTGGTTATGAACTAAAGCAAACGAATTGCTAAGAACTCTGCACATCCCTCTATGCAAAAAACCGTTTGAAGAAAGCGCGCTTCCCCTGAAAGACCTGCCTCGTAAGCGAAGTCGCAGCCGCCGCAGCAGATGCGCTGTACAGAACACAGTGGCGACGGCGATGAAGACAGCGGACTGTGCGGGACTAACGCTAGATAAGAACAAGAATGAAAGCAGTAGAAGCCCAATCATTTCAGCTACCAGTTCCAAACGATCCACAGGCAGGTTCTTCCTTTTCGGAACGGCCAACAATGGCATTGAAATTGCCTTTTCTCAGAGGAACGCAGCGAAGGTTGTATGTTCAGCAACAGGACCACGCGTTTGTCAATGTTTCGCAATCTACCAAAGAATGGCCTTAACCAAATGGTGCTGAAGCGATAGATTGGCTTGTGTGTCCTCCTTACTGCAACCCTATAGGGAGCCCTTGATCAAGGCGTTAACTTTAGCAACCGGCAGTATAATACCGCGGATGAACTGAAGGCGGCGGTAGAGGCTATTTGGGCCGACAGCGACGAAACAGCTATGCCAAACGTGGTTCAGATTATGATGTTTGACTTCATGTTAAGCTAAAGGGTCCCACTGATTTCTAATCTCAGAAAAAAATCTCCATAACATATTTTTTTTCAAAAGTGAGGCGATATTATCTGCTTTGCTTTCATTGGTAGGTATCAACCATGAAAAAATTGTGGATTTCATAGCGCGAAGCCCCTACCAGGAAAGGCATTCAACTTCCCATGGAACTTTGAATTGAGACCCAGATATATCGATAGAGCTTCAAACGCTGATTACAAATATGGAAACTAAAACTGCAAAATGAACCTGCCAAGGAAGTTGTGAGCAGTCAAAGTTGGCTAAAGTAAAGCGTTGCATATGAACCGTGCTGGATCCAGGCTTTCAGAGTCGCCGCGGAGTAGTGGTAGTGCCCTCGCTCTTCACCCGGAGGTCATAAGTTCTCTTCCGTTGGAGTGCAAATTCCGAGAGCACTACCACTACTCCACGGCGACTTTGAAAGCCCGGAGGCTAGCAGTGTAATGCTTTACTTCCAGCCAACTTTGACTGCTCACAACTTCCTTGGCAGGTTCATTTTGCAGTTTTAGTTTCCATATTTGTAATCAGCGTTTGAAGCTCTATCGATATATCTGGGTCTCACTCAAAGTTCCATGGGAAGTTGAATGCCTATCCTGGTAATTGTCTTTTGAACGTGAATTTTGACGGTGTCCACATACTTTTGAAACGCACTGTATATCCATGTCCCAAGCAAAAATGCGGTACAGCATAAAAAGTGTTTCAAAAAGAACTTACACGGCTTTACGTGCTCAGGAAGTCTGAAGTGAGCGTAGTCAACCTCTCCTACTTCGAGCAATCTTGACAGGTGCTCACTAAAAGGCATGACCGCAATGATAAGAAGTTCCACGTAGACATTGAAACTATTAGAATTCAGCGCAGGATTGAGTGTTTGTAGACGAATCACATCTTGAAACACTAGATAGGAGAGTAGGTGGCGGTGCGATTGTGTTCGTCAATAAACATTTGATCACAAAAACTGACTCATAGGAATGTTGTGCGGTCGTTCCATGGAGCCCATGGATTGAGAAAGTGTGGTTCAACTTTGGCACAGACGGTATTAGTCGCCTACTCTAATGAGCACTCACAAATGAGGCTCGTTTTGCATGGTGTGCGAAAAAGAAGCCTACGTTTGGTATGCAGGGTGAGAAAGGCGCTCTTTTTCACTCTTCATGCTAAAGTTAAACTGTAATGTCACATAACATTGACTTTTCGAAACGAGGATTCTGAGATGTTCTTGCGGATGGGCGACTGAGTAGAGCCAGGAACGCGTACGCCAGAGCTATCATGTGCTTGTCCGGATAAAGAGGCACGAACAACGCCTCCGGAGGTATGGACATGTGCTAAGGGGCCACAGGATCAATCGATAGTAGATAAGTCGACATGTATAATCAAATATTACGCGTATATGTCGAACTGCTACTCCCCTTTGAGCATCTAGAGCACCTTCGAGGACAGAGGATATAGTGAAGTGGCCACGCTGCGTTCATCTGTGCTTTTGTTGCCTCGGTTCAGCAGGCCGAAGCTGCCTCTCATGCTCCTTGACTACTGGCCCAATCCACACTACTGTTAGGGCTAAACGGCTGCCAAGGTATGGAAAGTTCTCCAGTTTCAGTTGTTCATTCATCTTTGTCCACAATCTTTGTGCACCTTCTTCGAAGCTCAGGAAGGTGGCTTCTTCACACTTAACTGGAGCACACCTTCTGCCAGCAATTCCTGCCATCGCTGCACCTTGAGATTCTTCTCTGCTGTCCACTATCAGAGCGATGTGGTAGCTCCATAAAACCTTCCCCACGACGTCTATTGTTAGAAGAAAGAGAACAGGCTCAAAGCTGATGCTGGTGTGCCCACATTCCTTTGTTGGGCCACGCGTGGTGCAAATAGCTGCTTTGGCTCCTTCGTACAACTCTTTCACTAGGTCGATCAGGTGTCTCGGAACTCCGTTTCTAGAGTCCTCCAGAATACTGTACAGCCAGTGGCCTTCTCCAAGTCGATGAGGGCTAATATGAAGATGAAGAGTTATCGATTTTCTCTATACATCTCCATCAGTCGCCTAACGATAAAAATGACGTGCGCTAATTATTTCGAGCATAAACCTGGAATGTTCCTCGGAGATTGAGACCACCTACCTCAGCTGCGAGTCGGTCGGACGGTCGCTCAACTTCATGGTATGCACAGTCGACTTGATCTTGCTCCAACTTTCGCAAGATTAACCTGACTGCGAATACCATGAAGTGTCAGCCTTCTGATTGAACATGGGAAGGGTAGCACTTGTTTTCCAGGCATCCGCCATCTTTCCATCGGTAACTTCGATGTTGAGGAATCGGCTAAGCCATCATATTCCGCGCCCTTCGAGCGCCTTCCATGCCTCGATCGGTACTCCATCTGGACAAATTACATTACACCTTGAATCTTACATACCTTCATCTTCGTTCCTTCTCGACGGATTTCCCTCCCGAGTGAGAAGGGACCAGCCGTCGTCCCTGGTTTTGGGTTGCGAGAAGACACCTCGTTAAGAAACCACCGCAGCACTCTTGCCACCTCCCCTTGACTTCGATTGGCTTCCTCAGGATGGCAGCCGTCGCTGCTCTTTACAATCTTCACCATCCTGATGCCTTGAGTAGCTTGTGCCGGGCCTTAGCCAGTCTGAAGACGAACTTCTCTGCGTTTCGCTCTCTAACTTCTTGTACAAGGCGTCCATTTCCGTGTTTCTGTCTTGAAGCCGGCTGCTTTAGCAGATTCTAGCAAGTCTAGTAGACAACGAGGTTCCCTGGGCTCCAGGTCTTCTGCCAGCGTTTGTATGCCTCTTCCACGTCTCTGTGGACCTCCTTGGCGCGTATCGTAACTCTGACTTTTGAACTCTCAAATTCAGCGACCATCTTTGTGCGCTGCAGACCAAGCCATTGATGGTGTACCATGAAATCGTCACTGATTTCGCATGATATACGATACTCATGGGCAGCTGGTAATAGCGAATACAGCCTAACCTAACTCTTTTGACCACACTCAGTACGATATCTTAAGAAGTCTTACCCAATTTCATCCCATCCGATGTAAGTGCCAATAATGATTATAGCAGTAATGACGGCCAGAAGAATGACGACGCAACAAAACATATGAGCTGTTCTTCTCTCCCTTCTCGCTTCTCCGCTCTCCGACTTAAACAGAGAGATTTACTCCATCAGCTTAAAGAAGGAGGGCTAGTGTAGTGCACTCGAGAAGGCATCGTGCAGGGGCAGTAGCGTTTCTCCGCAACAGTTATTCAATTTTCGCAGGGGGAGAAGATCCGGAGTGAGTAAATACTTTGCGTGCAGGAAGGAGTCTCAGGGTATCACAAAACGGGAATATTTGCAATAGGGCGCTCATGACGTCAGGGGACACTCAAGTGAATGAGCCGCTCGAGACAGCCTCAGGGAGGGGAAGGAATTCTTCGCGAGAATGCGAGCAATCTCTTTTCTCCCTGATGTGCTCTCCTTTCCTGGGCTTAGTCCTAATGTCAGCTCATCGCGTTTTTTGGCCAAGAGCGCCTGTCGTGATTTTGAAAGTTTTGAGCGCTCGATGCCGCAATGTCCTCCCCCCTCACCCCCTAGTTCACTAGCGGTCCCTGTAGCTAAGGGCCGTTTGTAAACACAAAACCTGGATCAAACTTATGCACTGGTACGCATCTGAACACCGGTGAGCGAACCCTACCTATTACCTGAAAAAATGACAGCCGCGTACAAGAACAATCGAAACGAAGACCCTTCAGTGGAAGACCCAACAGAGGAACCAACCTCACTGTAAGCCTGTTGATACTTCGCTGGAATAGTCTTGAGAAGCGCTCATTGTTGACTGTCGGCAATAAATGAACCTTACTGAAGGTTGAGATAATCAAGTTGGTGGTTCTCCACAAGCTGGTCATTATCATCCATTCCACAATCTGACTCCAACTCGGCAAGTTTTCAGCTCCATGACTCGCCTGTGTAGTCACTTTGCAAGCGATCGCATGGAGTAAGTAGAATGAGTCTGGACGAATTCACGGAAATTTACAATGAAGGTCGAAAAAGAGTATTCCAACCTAGATGAAGGACCCGCGGACCTCTTAAGGGTGCGGTCTGAAGCGCAATTGGCACCGATGGAGTTCACATCGGCGACCTAGTACAGCTCAATCTTGGCGCGGTGGACCAGTACACGCCCCCCGATCATCTTGAATCACGCCGCAGGTCTACAGGTCTTCAAACTTCACTCGTGCAATAAGAAGGGAAAGGCCATGCATAATCCCCTTCCTATAGTGAAGAGCGCATGTCCTGCTATTGCGTGTGTCTGTGTGTGTGTCACGAAATTCATAGCACGCGTTGCAGCAACGATGGGACACTCATTTCTAAATGAGTTACAGTGGGGCAAGACAGTGGATGATCCAAATTGACGACTACTGAGAAAAGCTGATAAAGAAGATCGAATATCGAGCCACGCATCAATTTCGTTATGCCCTTCGGCAGTGAGCAGCAAACATTGCTTCTTCATATGATGAGCTGGGGGACTGAGGATTTGTTACATAGTTGTGGTGACTGGAAAAGATAATTTAGGTGATGAATGGCTGTAAGGAGAGCCGAGGTGTGAAGTACCACCTAGCTACGCCCTTCACGTAACAGAATATTGCTTCCTAGCTTCATTATAGGATTTCAAGAGGAGACACAAATAGTGGGTGATCGAAGGTGATATCAACTGGAAAGGGTGATAAGTGGCGTTTGGATGTACATCTTATCGCTGCTCCCTTCGCAGTGACAGTGGACATTAGTTCTTACAATGTAATATTGGCGGATTTCTGAACTATGGTGAACGGCCAACAGGTATGCACCAACATGCTCACCAAATACTTTCTATTCCCATTCTATGGGGTGCGCCCGAATTACTTGCTTGCTCAAAGGTGCAGGGTTTGGTACACTGGTTATGTGCGACCTCTCAAATAGCCATCAACCGGTTGAGTACTTTGTGTTCTATGCGCAATTTGAGTCACAGATTCCAGCTCTTGTTTTCTCAAGGTTATGAGGCCTTATTCTCTCTGACCACTATCATTTATTTGCGCCAGAGTGCCCGCGTTCAAAAACAAACCCCAAAACTCCTTCGTCAAAAGATTTTTACTATCGAACGATTTAAGGATCTCAGAGCTACGCATTGCCTAGTGAGAGGAAAACGAGCAGTTGCAATATTCATAAAAAAAAGTTGAAGTGGTTCAAGATATGGAGGGAAGATTGCAAAAAGTTGGGAATCAGCCATGCTGTATAAGATCGCACTGTCTAGATGAAGTTGGGGATTAGGCCTCATCAATGCCAGAGGGCCCATTTTCTAACCGCATCCTTTGGGGAAAATTAACGTTGGCACGCTCCCGAGACATTGTCTTTTCCGATGGAGAGATGTTCACGTTGGAGTCGACCTTTAATCGTCAAAATCATCGGTTACCCTGCTGACGAAATGGAACCGCTAACGAGGAATCTAAGATTCCTGAAGGCTTTGGACTCCCCAGAAAGCCATGCTTTAGGCAATGATCGCTCACGGAGCCAATTTCCCAGTAAATTTCATCGAATAGGATATTGCTATTGACACAAAAGTGAACCTGGACAGCGTGCTCAAGAACTGCGTGTTTCTTTGAAAAGAATGCGATTGTGAATCCAGCGCATTCACGCTTCAGCATGATTCTGCACTAGGCCATAGATCGCAGGTGACGCAGCGGTGGATGCAAAGCCATCCAACAGGCATCGCAGCGGTCACGAATGGCCATCCTACGGGCCCATTTGGAAGCAACGGAATGTTACGTAGATGCTTCTTGGAGAGCAAGGTCTGCACTAAGAAGTGCCGCTCAATTCAAGCAATGAAGTTAAACCTGCACAAAGCTCAGAAACAAAGCTTCGAAGTACCGTGACGCCACAGTGGACGACCTGACTTCAGGTCTAAAATCCGTATTCGAGGCCAGGAAGGCAATTCCAGATATATGTATGCAGTAATTGCGTTCTTTGTAATCTCGTGTTAAAAGAGGCCTCAATTTACTGTTTTACCGTTTCTACAACGATGGATATTTGAGCAAGTAATTTTGGCTTACCCAATAATACTACAAGGGACAAGACCAATTCAACAACTATTAACTGTATTAGAAGAAGTGGTGAATGCCCACAGAATATGATAAGTATCAGTTCAGCTCCGCAAGTTATCGCGTACACCACACTATAAGCTGCAGTAAACTGGGGAGGCTGTGGAACGTCAGACCAAGCGTTTCACTGAAGCACCTTGCTACTGGAAACGTCATCTGAGTGACCTAATGTTCCACACGCTCTTCAGTTTCATTGCGTGGAGTGCGCGCGACAGTGTGCGGGGCAAGACTGGAGAACCATAAATGAAATTATTATGGTAGGCATATGAGCTGCACACAGTGGGTAGATGAATTAATCAATGCCGATCAACCTGCGCTATCGACATAGAAGGGGCATACCATAGAAGAACGGAACACCTGCAACTTTCGTAAACAGCTCTATCCTATCAAAAAATTCAAGTATCCTCTATTTCAGAAAACGAGAAGAGCGTCGAGTGCAGACCACACACCACAAGTGACGACGGCCAAAAAAAAAGAAAAAGCCACGTTTCTCTCGGCCTACGTCACTTCGGTGTGTGGTCTGCACTCGATGTTCTTCTCGTTTTTTGAAATATGTGGTACCAGTTGGCGCCGCACGCTGTTGCGTGCACAACACAGTTCTGCGGCGAAATGGAATATTGTGGCATTATTTCTCCAATATGGCCCGATTCTATGAGTATTTGGCTCCTGCTAGAATCCATCCGCTTGCGCAAGTTCCACCCTCCCCCATCCACCAATGGCTTTTGACCTCCTCTTCTTCGTCAAATAAAATTGTGCGCTTTTTCCCAGTCTAGAGACTCCCCTGGACCAATTTATAAAGCACTGCCAATTCCGTTGCATGTCCCACCCACCTTTTCTTCCTCGCCAACCTCTGCCCACTATTTCCCCGGTCTCTGAACTGTCTTTGAACCAATTGATATTTCCTTTTGATGCATGCTCCGCAAAGCCCAAATTTTTCCTGATTTTTGGAATTCCTGGAACCGAGTTAGGATTGGCATCAAACTTCGCCCACTTTGAGTTGAGAAAGAGGAGTGGTACTTCAAGAATAAGAGTGAAACACGAGTACAAAAATGCTGCCCAGATCTAAGATTTAATCATGTATAACATGAATATCAACTTTAAAGCGAAACAAAGCTACGGGACAAGAATATTGATGACCGCTATTCTCTAACTATGAACCATGAGATTCGAAGTATTCTAGCAACGGTTCATAGTACTTGTCGATCCAATCCATGCGACGTTTGATCTGTTCAATACTGGACTTGAATAGCGCTTTTACTTTAGCAGCTTCTTTGTTATTGTGAATAAAGCTTTCTACCTGGAAAACTAATTCTGTTTCACTTATAGAAAGGTTGGTGTATAATTAACAAGAAACAAAACCAGTTTTACAAAATAATCACTCTCTTATATAGAGTACCGACGTGGCTCGTTATTTTGTTTGACTGTCAGTTTGTATGTTGATCTCTGCGCAAAAAGAAAGCGAGCGCGACAAGAAATGAGGTAGGCAAAATCACCGCTAATACAAAAGCGAATTGGTTCAGCTTTATCGATTTAATGATAACATCTCTTCCCCTCTCCATTTTATGAGAGAACCGCTTTGCATACTCGATACCACTAAAAGGTGATAAAGCCGCACGTCGCAATGCGCCGTGTTGAAGCTATCACAGTGCGCAATCACTTTTAATCATAAATATGTGTCACGAGAAACCACCGGAGTGAAACGAGACTATACCCACACTGCAGGCGGACCGGATAACAGTTCGCCTGTAATGTAGTACTGTCTCGCAGAACTCAGCACTTTAGACATAGTGCAGTTAATCTGGCTGCACTATGTATCGAATGCTAAATTCGTGGTGCATTTGTCTGACAAGATATTCGGTATTACCGGAAAATTCACCTGTAGGGCCAAGTAGTTTCTGATGCATCGGCCAGATGTATGGACCATACGCACAGTAGGCGGAGTACCACGTGATTGCATAAGCTACTACACGCACAATCGTAAATGGCAAGCAAATAGGGGGTACCCGACAGGAGGCCCGTCGCGCGCAAGAAGGCAGAGTCAGCGGACGAGTCGCAGCGCGTACTGTAGTGATTTCGCGTCAAGTTAAATAGAATGTACCATTGTACGTCCTACATCGCACATCACGCGCTGCGACTCGTCCGCTGACTCTGCCTTCTTGCCGCGCGACGGGCCTCCTGTCGGGTACCCCCCCCCCCAAATAGAAACTGTCTTGGTCGCAGGGGGCTGCATCCTATCCAAAAAAAGCATTCTGAATTCGTTGTCGAATTCCATGACCCGAACAAGTTCGTGAAGTGGGACCTCCAAGAATAATCGTGAACGGCGGCAAATCTCGGTGTTTGGAGTCAAGGAGGAATGAAAAAATTCCCAAAGAATTGTAGAATTGCGTCCCATTTTTAGGGCGCCGCGAGATGGCGCATACCCGCTTTGTCATGACAAACATCGAACGCATATTGTAGAGGACTGAGTGGACTTTGCTTCGTTAGAACTTCTGAGTTAATCTCTCACTTTCATTTTCAAGGGACCGGAAACAACAAAAATGTTTGACTCATCGTCAGATGAACCTGATGTATGTACGTAGTAAATGCTAAAAAAATCTCCACAAGCTGCCATTTCTTCTGAGGCTATCGACTTTCGTCTAAGGGGCCCTCGTGAGTTGGGACCTCGGACAAAATTTGGTCGCTTCCGTGCGGCTAAATAATTAGACTTCGCTTTCTTTTCCTGTGTTATGGATTCCAAAGGATACCGGAACTTTCTTGAGGATCGACCTTTGCTCATTAATTGTTTTGTACGATGACGCAACTATCCGTGCTAGTCAGTGATGGTAAATTTGGTTTGGATGTTTTCCTAATCTAATCGTAAGCGCTATTCGAAGTTGTAGAGTTCCCATAATGAAGAAAATTAACAGCTGAGCGAAGCAATGTGGAGTGAAACTGAAGGGCTCATACAGTTCCGATGTCATCAAAGTATGGACCAATTTGGACTGTTCCGTGGTAGCTAGCCTGGCTTCAAGCATGTCAAAACACACTGCAGTCGGTATTAGGTTGGAAAGAAAGTCCTGCAACACTTTTTCAAATTTTTGTTTTTAATTTTATCTTTTTTGTTTACAACTCCTGACCGGTCTTGTATCTACCATGAGTGTCCTCCACTTGTCTTCAACGCTCAAAAAATTTCTTGATGCTCCTTTGCCAAAACCCAGCGGAGTGTGGGTCGAGAAAGGAGGCGACCTCACTTTCGAGTTGGAGTTGATCGTCTAATTATTTCGTCATCAAGATGATGATTTAAGGTCAGGATAGGTGCAGTCATTTATAGCTCGACCAGGGGAATACGCTAAGAGAGGAAAGAAATTCTTGCCGCAGCTCCAGAATTTCTTACCGGGCCCATTTCGGATCATGGTGATTCGCAATGTCATGAAAGAAATGAATATTGTCGCGGTACGAGGGCTCTGACGAGCTGCCTCGGCCAGCTTTCTGGAGTTCCGCAGCCTAGACCTCTACCTACACAATGGTGCCCATAACGAAGAATTTGTAAATGAGCTTCCGTAGGAGCCCTTCCTGTAATGGAGTGTGTAGGACGCTGCTGGCTTCTTATGAAAATATCAAAAGATCGGAAAGCGCTGGTAAAGGTGAAACACGCTGTAGCGGTGCACGACATGCCTGTTGAAGTGATTGAAGATAGTGCTGGTCTTTGACACGAATCCACAGTTATGTGGACATTTGTACTAGACAGTGACTCGGAGTGTGGATTTACCAGTGGTCTGGGTTTTTTGAATTTTCTTGGCTAACTATTGACTGCAGCACTTATATCCACCTCGTGGATTAAAGCCACGAGAATGTTCTACCATTTGTTAGTCATAAATGTTACCTATTGATTTTCAAAAAGAAAGAAAATTTTAGAAAGAGTGTCGCAGAACTTTCTTTCCAACCTAATATTTACAAACGAAAGGGTAAAAAATCATCTCAAAAAATGGAATGTTGCTATCGTGTTACAAATCTTTCGTTACAAATAGAGCAGCCATATAGAGGGCTGTCCTAAGAGATATTTGACTGAGAAGATGAGAGAGCTGCCTTAGAAAAAACGTTACCGGACCTTTCGGCATGAGCTTGGGGTGCACCTACACTCAAGGAGTATACGTAAATCAGAATCCACAGTTATTTGGAAGCCTAGCGCTGCGAGTGGCTCCGTATGCGATAGGAAATTTTGATGCTTGATCCCGCAAAACCCAAAACAAAGCCAATTGTTTGATAGCTACAGTAGGTTCAGACAGTCAATCGAAAACGTGCGCGGCTGCCAGTCTCGGCATAGGGACCTTTTAGCGGAGATCTGACCATGAGAAGGGCGCCCACTCCATTGCTGACGCGGGTAAAAATGAATCTCATTATGAACAAAAAAGTGAAAAACAGTTGATCATAAAAAAGTGAAAAAAAAGTTTCATCACGAACAAAAAGTTCAACTGCAAACCTCTCGTAATTGTGAATGCGTACTGGATGTAGAAAGACACGCACTAATCACACGAGTCATTAATCTGAAGTTATCGTGAAGCCTGAAATATAAAGTTCTATTTTCGTTGCGTTTCTTGAAAACATTACCAGCAGAGGAACCGGCCAAAAAAGTACATCATATGGTATAGAAAGTGGGATTTCTGAAAAACAAGAAATAATCGATTTCGCAAGTTGGAGAGCTTGAAGATGAGGAGAAGGAAAGCGATGAAAGGAGGCGTAAGAAAATGTGGATGATATTAAAACTATAATATTAGGTTGATTCATAAGTAATGGCCCATTTGACAAAAATTTTAAAGTTCGCAACTAGCTTTTGAATCTTTACCATATTTACCACAGCTCTCTACTGCTCTATCTATCCGCGAGTGAAAGGATCCCTTTGTGACAGAACTAATTGTAAGCCATCTTCGACGTCAAGAATCACTAGGCATTTGTTTTGAGGTGCTCGCGATCTTCATAGTCTTTCCCATTGAGGAAACGAGCAAGCAAGCGGAGTTATTTAGCAAGCGATTGTTTGCTATACCTTAATGGATTATAAAGAGCGGGGAAATTGTGAGGCCAAGTTTCTGTACAGTATTCTGGCAATCCCTCGTTTAATGTGGATGATGAGCTGCTGCTGCGCAGTGGAACAATTTTATGTATTAGAAGCCTCAACTTTGCGATATCCATAGCAAGTTTATCAAGCTGTAAGCGGCAAGTGTCGTGGTATTGTGGTGGTATTGTTTGGAGTCTGCAATGAAGCAATCCTACAATCGAGAGACGAGCCTACCTACTGCGTAAAGGGTGACCTACTGGGGCTCGTTGTCACTACTGAGCTGCGCTTTCCCACTGATGCCTCCTTATATGCTTGAGTAGACGGCGAACTCCTTAACCCCAGTGACTGCTTGTCAAGCAAATCGAAACTACGACTTTTAGGCAACAAACTTTGTGAGATGATCACATGTGTCCTTCGAGCCACCTCGTCCAACTCGTGAGAATTCCATCTTCCCAGCGTGTACAATTTCTCCATGGCTCAGAGGGAACGACACATGGTGCACTGGGAGGACTGAAGGTCTACTGCAGTTTGGGTACTGGATGCCGGGTTGCCTTCAAGAAGCTCTTGCATGCGTTCAATATCTACGGTCATTGGGTGTCCGAAACGTGGTTGGTCTTCAGGGCCGTAGTCGCCTTGACGAAGCTTCCCGAACCACTTCCAAGCAGATGCTCCCTTCTCCGAGTCTGGTCTTCCAGAATCACAGATATTCCAACAGACTCTTCCTGCTGAGGGACCCAGGTGGAACCTGTAAATAGGTAGTGATGAATGCTGAATGGTGGACATCACGGTCGGGGGCACCAAGGAAACAAAAAATCAGTAAAAATCCATCTACGCTGACGACATCGCCTGATAGCGGATAGTAGAGAGGAAGCCAAGGTGCAGAAATGGCAGAAAGTCCTGGCAGAAGGTGGGCTCCGGCTGAATGTCAAGAAGACCAAGTTCCTGAGCTCGAAGAGGGTGCAGAGCCGATCGTGGACGGCCATGGTGAGACCATCGAAAGAGTGGAGGACTTCCGCTACCTTGGGAGCGATCTGGCAGCCGACGGTAGTGTGGATCAGGCGGTGAAGGCTCGGTCAACGCTGCATGGATGAAATGGAGGGAGTCCACTGGAATCCTCTGCGATCGAAGGTGCTCCAGAACGCTCAAAGGGAAGGTGTACCGGACAGTGGTAAGGCCTGCGATGCTCTACGGCAGCGAGTGCTGGCCCCTGAACAAGAATCACGAAAGGCAGCTTCACTCGCTGAAATGAGGATGCTGAGATGGGCCTGCGGCTGGAACGCGAATGCAGACTGCCCCTGTCCAGCTGAAGGTACGGGAACAGCGTCTGCGATGGTATGGGCATGTGCTAAGGAGGCCACAGGATCATCCGATAAGAACAGCGATGGACAGAGCAAAGTGGCAACGACTGACAAAGGTAGCGGACCTTGCGACAGCGGGGATCTAACGCTAGGGAGAAGAAGATCATGCGTTGAATGGACGGCAATATTCCCCTTATAGACGAGTACGTACAGCCGAATTTCGTAATATGAAAGGACACTAAGGTCGCCACATACTCCTTTGCGGGAACAACACAAACACGTTTGAGAAAGATGGCGCGGGTATGAAGAAATCGGCAATTACTTATGACTCAACCTAATATCTGAACAGCCCTTCTCCAGGATCAAGAAACAATTTGACAACAATTCTCCGAAAGCGAAAAAAATTATAATTCTGAAAAAGATAAACCTTTTATAGATATATTCCCAGTTCTCGAAGAGAAATAAGAAAACGAGTTCGCCGGCGATGGGGTTTTCTGCGATAATATGAAAGACATAGCCGACATCTTCCAAAGGAAACACATTTCCATCTAATGTTGATTTCAAGATACTGAAAAAAAAATTCCAAATTCTAAGCATAATTCCCACGACCCTGGTGCACCTTTTCAAACCAGTTATATTTTGATAACATCGTAGTGCATGACGTAGTCTTCGCCTTTCAACAGTAACTGTTTCGAGTTTATACAATTCAAGCACCTGAATCACAGCCTGATTTGCTCTCATTTATGACTGCTTTCAAATATTCATACATATATTTTCACAACTTACCTTATTAAGCGCCGTGTCACCAAATTTCTGCACGCCATAGCAATAGCTGTCTTCTCGCAGAGGAGCAGCAATCCTTAAAAACGATAGCTCGACCAACTGCTCAATAACGCACTAATGAAGTACTCAGGACAATTCAGAAGCAAACAAAAGATAAAGGATAAAGCATTTGCCGTTGATCAATCCCGTCTTGGGATGCGGCACGCATTCTACTTCCATTTGTACATTCGTAGTGGCGTTTGAATGCGATGTGGCCTATACAATGACTTGCAGGGATGTACAAGTCAGTGTTTTTTTTTATCCTCCCAGACAAGTCTGGTACCAATTAACCGACCCCGGAGGGATGGAAGGCTTGGTTGGCCCGGGACGACTCAGCACGACCCAGGATTCGATCCCCGGAGCGAGCGTCGTAAGCGTGCCACTTGTCACTACACCAATTTTGCCCCTGGATGCAAATGACATGAATAAATCACGGAGCTCGATCCTGATCAGCTGCTCTGGGTTGCGCCTTTAACTTCATCAACAACGAAGAGTTTCGATACCAGAGCACTTTGCACTTTATCAGCGTCTTTTATAGAGGGGTTTATTTCTCTATTTCTAGGGAGTAACCCATTGCGATTTCCTTCTTTTTATGTGCCTGTAGCTTGGGGTGTTGGTTGTATGGATGTACAGTAGCAGCCAAAAATCAATTAGCAAGAGGTTTCTCGGGGTTTCTCTTCTGACACTCCTCAATCGTCCCTGAATCGTCCCGCATTTACTAGGATAAAACAGAACACCACCTTTCCCTGATGACGTTATGTTGCAGCGTCTCACGGGGGCTGCAACATAACTCAGGGGGGTAATATTCTGAACCAGCTAGTTAATGGTCCACCACATGTGGTAAACCAGTCAAAGCGCCCAGCTGACGCCGGACACTCCTCTTTTTGGAGATCACCCAGCTATGCCAGGCGACAGGTTAGGCGAAACGCCCGGGTGAACTAACACTCTTAGACCATAAAACACACAGATGATTGATTAATTTTTTTTCGAAATTGATTACCAAAAATTCAAAAATCACCGACTGCTAGGACAATATCAATATGAAAAGCGGTGATACAGCAACGTGAGCACTATGGACCCGAGAAGCCAGGAAGAAGCAGAGTACTAATTGGTGATGCCTACGGTTCCACTTATGTAAACGGACCACAGGGTCAACTTGAAGAATAGAATTTGGTTTTCCTCTTGTTTGTCATCACAAAAGGAGAACATCCGTCGTACATTGAAAAAGGAGCAAAATGTGTAAAGAACAGGAAGTCTTGCACTTGCAGTTACAAAGGGTACTAGACGTGTTGCTTTTGATTCTCGATCAAGAAAAACCGCATCAAAAAACATACAAATTCATCACGTGTTCGGAATTTGAGTCATTTTGAGCCAGTTATCCTCTTAATAAATGTGCGTCCGCAATCTGGCTGAATGAATTCCTAAAAATTCTCTAGTGGAGAAAGAAGCACTGGGCGTAAAAGACACTTCCCAAACCGAGTCATTTTTGCTAAAAAGTGTAGGTAAACGATGGAAGCAAGATAATTTTCTGTCTCTTATGTGTTACTTTTTATCCTGTCGATTTCTTTTCCCCTGCAAACTTTCTCGTTTCCACAGCTTCATAGCGACGGAGCAAAAACGTTCAGAGAAACACATAGCAAGTATGTTGTACAAAAAAAGAACTAATCTCGCTTCAGTCGGAGATTTCAACGTACAAATTGTTTCTAACAAAACAACTCAGTTTTCGTGACAATTTCTCTCCACGAACACTGGCTCTTTTATTCACAGCTAGAGAATCGCCTTAGAAGTTCTGTGATTGCCTCAGAAGTTCTGTGATAACCTAAGGAAGAAATCGTCAACTGTCAACCAGTTTCATCAGTCGAAGATGAAATACGGCGAAGAAACACGGGTGACGTCTCCGAAACATGGGAAAACGACCTTTTTTCAAGATTTCTTTGACGTTTCTGTCTGCATTCTTGGGTGGATGTTCAAATTCTCGATCGAATTCGACACAGTCCCTATCTGGTACTTTAGCTCTATGGAATACGAGTTTTTCAACAATTTGTCTCCCTACTCTGGAGAACGAGAAGAGCGTCGAGTGCAGACCACACACCAAAGTGACGTCGGCAGGAAAATAGCGGTACGTAACCACCGACGAACGAGATGAATTGATTGCAGCTGAATTCTATTAACTATCAGCCTAATTCGACTTCGCTCGCCTTCAGCTCTATTAAGATAAACTGTTTGTATCAACATTTATCATGCTGCGTTTTCAATGGTTTCGTTACCACCATCGAATGTTGTCGTGGTGTCTCACAATTTTGAATATTATGTCGAGTGTCCCTCCCTTTTCGCTTTTTTAAACGGACCCGCTCCTCCATCAGTGTCTTCCAGAGCCCTTATAGCTGTCAGGTACTATTCGATACATTTTTGAAGGGCATGTGGTCACAATTTTCGCCACCTTTGGCAAGCTCACTCGACAGTACCACTCCTTTTTTTTTCCATTTCTTTTTCTTTTACTATTTCGCGCTGGTTTCATTTTTAGCTTTCTAGTTAATGAGCCAACATTCTTTAGTTTTGTCGCAATCGCAATGTTCGAAATTTTTGACACTTTCGCACCACGACAACATTTGACGGTAGCAACGAGGTCGTTGAAAACGCATGAAAACATGTTAGAATTTCAAATAACTTACCTGAAGAAACTTGAGGAGAACGAAGACGAATCAAGCAGAGAATCAATAGAAAACAACTGCAATCAATTTGTCTCCTCGTCAGTGATCAACTGCCGCTTTTTTCTTGTCCGTCGTCACTTGTGGTGTGTGATCCGCACTCGACGCTCTCCACATTTTCCGAAATAGAGGGTAGTTGATCGGATCACTATGAAGTGCAGCGCGCTTAGACGATATGCGGGAAACTGCCCAGTCTTCACGCAATGCTCGCTCGCAATGACTCTTTCATGAACTCTATGCCTGCGTAGGCTCGACGAAACTCTTCAAAATAAAATAGTTAAATAGGGCTGGCAACTTAACACAATGGGCTTGCAGGCTTGCCTTCTCCACATTTTTTGAGGACTTTTTCTTCGAATAACCTGCTCATATTCAGCAATGCAGTCTTCCGCTCCTGACCCACAGTACCATTCGATCATGTTCATCTGGTGTTTACTAAAAAACGTAATCACTCAGTCGAGCGGTCGTTAAAGCCAGAAGGAAAAGCTTCTTGAAGTTATTGAATCAACATGCCTCCACATGTGAGATTATAGTAACTACTTGATGACTGTGTGATATGACGTCACTCCACTCCCTCACACGGTGCGATAATAGAGACATGTTTCGCCGTGTTTATTTGGCGTTTCTTTTCGTGTTCCAAAAAACATTTTCGCATCCATACAACCTTACGCCGAGTTCGAAAAACAATTTGTTCATTATTGGTTGTCATTGAAGAATCAGAAGAAGCGGCTGCGCCGACTATGAGGTAGGAGAACAGTTACGAGCCTCTCACAGAAACGCTCAAGGTAAGAGCTAACAATGATGGAGATTGTCCAGACGAGCTATGGTTACGTCAAGGCAAGGCCGTTCGATATCAGCCAATGGTAATGAAAATCGGACAACCACGACAACTTCTTGACGTTTCCCCCGCAGCCGTTGCGAACCCTTTCGTCCGAGTCGTAGATGGTGAAGAGTTCCGGAAGTTTTTTCAACGCGTAGTGGCGGCCGTCAATGGATTAACGGTTTGGGTCGCGACTGAATTTGCATGTTCGTTGTAAGTCAACCGTTCCATGACGGTCAACATAGCATTTGACGTTTCCAGGGGCACATGAGAGAGAGCACAACTATGAAGTTGCGAACAAGACAAAGTTGCAGCGGTCATTGCTGCCAACAACTCCTTATTGTCCTTTCCGCGCACGATTCGGACTCACGACAGTGCCCGACTATTATTATCTTGAGGCCCTGTTCCTCACACACCACCAGAACTACCTCAAGGAGCTGAGTGGTCATTCAAAAACTGGGATTAGATCAGAAATATATCAGAACATTGTCAAGACCACGGACAGATCCATATCCTTGTGACGTACGCTTAAGTGGTCTTATCAAAAGTGCGAATGCGACATTGGCCTATACAATGACTTTGCGGGGCCAGCCGATGTACAAGTCAGTGTTTTTATCCTCCCAGACAAGTCTGGTACCAATTAACCGACCCGGAGGGATGGAAGGCTTTGGTTGGCCCGGGCGACTCACGACCCAGGATTTGATCCCGGACCGCTCGCGTGGTAAGCGCGCCACTTGTCACTACACCACTTCCGCACCAAAAAAAAGGCACACGTGCCGGTAATTAGGAAAGGAATCGACCTGGATTGCCTGCGGTGCAAGCGGACATAAAGTGCTCGGAAGAGGTAGTAAACTGAAAGTGAAAAACCAGTGTTGGGTTGAACCTCCGTGTTAAGCTGCGCAACATTTTGCAGGGTATTCTACGAGGTATGGGGCCATGAATTATTCCTGGAGTGGTAAAATCTCTCACTACTGGCCAATATCAGCCAATTTTTCGGGATTTGTGGTGCAGTAGTTCCGAACCACGACATAATTTTGGCAAGGCGATCTGAGCCGGTTGTAGAAAGCTGTGAAAAATAAGGCCAGAATATTACCATCGGTTGGGAGTCGACCAAGATTTATGGAGGTGGAAATTCACATTTGATCAAAGCAACACCCCCAGATTGAATTTGTGGGATCACAGCCGTTGATAATGAAGTGGTGAATACCGAACTGACCAGAAATGAACGAAAGAAGCAAAGAAAATGGTCGGAAGAACACTTAACACGGACTCTTCTTAAAAAAGAAGGAGCGAGGCCAGATAAGCTTGCCTGCTCGACCCCACTCCACTGCTCGACTAATTCGCGTGTATTCGATTAGCCGCAACACCGTAATCCACGTTGAGTGTCATGGAGCCACACAACTCGTCCAAATGCTAAGATTAGTCACCAAATGATGACTTTGTAAGACACTAGCGCCACTTTCAAGCCGCAAAATGACACATCTGTGCTTATCGTGAGCTACTCTATCCCA